ATTGTATTTCCCTTCAGTTAGTTGACCTTGATTATTGTCTCCAGCTGCAGGTGAAGACTGTGGCTTCAGAGGAAGTAACCTTTTTTTTTTTTTTTTTTTTTTTTTTAAATGAATCTGCCAGCTATAGAACAACATCTGACAGCTCTTTAGATCTTCCAGCTGTGTTCACAGCCCTGAAACAATGTTTAATCTCCTCTTGCTCATTATATAGGCAGCTAGGGTGATAACAAACCAGTCCTGTTAAAAGGCATAAAATTTGTCTTGATAAAAGGAAGTCAGTTTTTATTTGTTGGAGATTTATAGTGTCAGTTTCCTATTTCAGTCTCATCACCAAGTCCAACTACATTTTGTCCACCGAGGCTGAAATTTGAGACGCATGCTTCATTAAGGGCTGCCATGTCCTCTGTCTAATCTGAAGCCAGGCGTCTCTCTCTGGGAGCCAGCTGTACTTTGTGTCTCACCCTCTGCATGGGGTTTAGGTCTGGGCAGCCATAGGTCTTAATCCACTGTCCAGCCACTGCCCAGGAGGGGGCACAGATAGCTTGGTAAGATGAGGTGAGACAGCAGAGATTAAGGCAAAAGAAATGGATGGGAATCTATCGATCTGTGATAGCTAAGCCTGTTGGATTTGCTTAAGAAAGTTCACTCTAAAACCACTGCCAGCTCTTACTGGATTCTTAACAGTCCTCTAAACCCCTTTTGTTAGATCACGTCTGTATAGACTCTGCCATTTAATGGAGAACTGTTTGCTTAAAGCAACAATAAAAAGAGAGGATTATCACCAAATACTTGCTGTTAATTACCTAATTTTTAATAACTACTAGGCTGCATGTTGACATACATCCAACTAGACATCACAGATAAAAAGCTAGTTATATTCTCCAATGAAATGTTATATGTTTTACATCTGCCACGGTAAAGACTGGGGTTGCCCTTCAATTTAGAAGTAATTTGCACATGCCTTTTTGGTACAGTATCACAACCTGTTCCCAGCACTTTCATGTGATTTCAAGGAATACCAAAGTGCTACTGAAATAATTTGATCCATGTCTGGTTGTCCTGATAAGGTGCTCTGCAGGAAGTTGTAGTACATGATGAGTTCCTGAGTGTTGGTGGGTTCTGAAGTACCAAAGTTCAATAGGAAGTGGAGAAAGGAAAAGGATGCAGATCATATCACTCCAAGAATGAGGATATGGCCAATGAAGCTTCTGAAAACAGGCTTATGACAAGACAGATTCCAGGTATGTTGTGTTTGTCTTGAGAAAGCAGAGGCGTTACAGATGCAATTTCTGTCAGCTCCCAAACATTCCTTCAGCACTAAATTTGCATTGCACTGTTTCTACAAGTCACTTGCAAATATAGTGGGCAATTAACTACTTGGACTCTTTATAGTGTTCCCAGGCCCTTTGGTGTTTCTTCATTAGTTTTAAGACCGCAGTTGATCTCTTTGTTGTACAGTTTCGAGACCACAGTGTGGAAGGGAATGTGGTGGAGCAGGTTGTGCATTTTTCTAGAAAGAACTGGCAATTAGGTGATTAGACACCCTCACTGAGTGTTGTTTGAAATAGCAACCAGTGTTGTTTTAGTGGGGGAGAGGCATCACTCAGGCCTCATTCAGACTGGGAACCTCTACTTCTGTAGGGGGAGGAGCACTTTCACACACAGTGATACTTTACTGATCAAGTAACAAAGTGGCCCATCAAACACCAGGATGCCACATAAAGTCACACAGTGCGACGTTCCCGCTTCTTAATACTGCCAGTCTATCAGACACCTCTTACTGCCCCCTAATTCCTTCCCCTGCCTCTACGATCTTTCTTTTTGCGGTGACCAATAAAGCATCATGATTCCCTAATGTTCTGCTGAATTTCACACCCGGGATGACATCCATGAGCATGTGAGAAACCTTTATCCCAGGAGAAGGAATCTTCATCTCTCTTGTTGCTCTTGTTAAAGTATCCTCTTATCTGCACCCTTTCACGCGTCAGCATCCAAAGCCTCCGCTCTCCCTTCAAGTGAGCTCGCACAGTAGTTTGAGGCTACTGCAGTGTGCTCTTTAGATAGAGATGCTGCTTTTCAATACTTCTGTTATGTTGACAGACTGCAGTGTCAGTTTCATACACACAGTATCGAATGCAAGCATAACTATTTGAATTTTTCCTTTTCATAAAGGTCGTAATATCCAACTAGCTGAATTTGTTACCAACAGTTGATTAAAAAAAAAAAGGAAGACAGATACATTTCAAAAAAATATGGCTGTTTGATATTGAAATAACTGACATTGCAATATATCTGAATAATCATAGTATGGTTATAACTTACAAACTGGGAGACTTAACTTGTGGCTTAAAGCCCTGCAGCATGGTCCAGTTGTTCAGGGTGGCAGCCTTCATCATGCTCAGTGTACTGTCCATTGTTAAGCAGACTTGACTGTAACTCTTAAGCAGTCAACACTTCTCTCATCCCTGTTGTGATGTTTTCAATATTGCAGGAGAAATGGTGTTTGCTAACAGCAATTTTTCCATCATTAGTCCTCATTATTTATTTGGACAGTGACAGTTATGTAAGGCTTCGTTGTCTGGCTCGACCACAAGTCTGTTGTAGCTGCATGATATTCCACTTGTGACTGCTCTGTTTCAGCTTGTGCCTTGCATCTTTTATAGAGCTCTGGGCTGGCAACTTGAGAAAAATAGGTGTGTGATGGTGTTACATACCACGAAGTGACCAGATCCAAACCCTCCTTGGTAACACTTAATTAGTTTTATATCTTTCTCAAGGTGCAAAGATATTGCATCAGTGATTGCTCTCTGCCCATGGCATTCAGATCTGGTTTTGCATTAAATAAATGACAATTTGTGAGTCATTTTTTCTTGTGTAGGCAACCGCTGCAAGACATTGCATATAGACTACCTGCTTTTGATCCTTTTTAGCCAAAATATTTCCATCAACTGATGTTACATTTCTTTTTGCAATCGTCGAATCTCCCTTTTGTTGTTTTTCCCCTGTTCCTTGCTATTTTGCTGTGCACACGCACCTGCATGTTAACAACCTTTATATCTTTTAAATAATGCTTTTTCTTTTCTTTTTTTTTTTAGAAACTGTATCCAAGAATCCCTAAAATCTGAGTAAATTATGTAATTATGCCTCTCATCAGACAGACTTATCTTGTAGATTAGTCATGGAAAATAAAAACTACACAAGTGCTGTTGTTGTATCAAGCAGTAAAAACAAGTTGTAACATGATGTGTTCAAGTTAATTTGCCTTCAAGTCACACTTCCTGCGAAGGGACTGTTTCGCATGTGCACATTGCATTGCTGAAACAATAAATGTTGCAGCCCCATTTCAAAACCAAGATGCACACAGATATTCAGTAGGAACTCAATGATATCCATCAACCAGTTTGGTATGTCAGGACACTTCAGTCCTAAGCCCTCATGAATATTCTCTCACAAGTGCACTGCAAAGTTCAATGTCCCTATTAGAGTCACTGACCATCGTTCAGACTTTATAGGATGTTTTTTTGTTTTCGTTTCAATAATTAACTGCATTTTATTTCTCCACTTGTAGCAGTTGAGCCTCTTCAACAGTGGATTTAGAGATGCGTTTTTTAAAATGTGCATTTTGAAGTAAAGAATTAGCTTTCCCTTGTTTTGAAATGAGCCAGAATTGAAAAGTGCCATTTTATTCAGTGCAGTAATGTTACAGCTAGCTTGGGTGGTTGGTTGGTGTTCTGATAGAGGCTTCTGCCATAAGCCTGGGAGGGTCTCCTCCTGGGGGCAGGGGGTGTAATGACTTCCCCAGCTGGCCCCTTGGGACGACTGTGCTCGTGCTCTGCACCTCTCCTGGCTGCTTTAAGCCACCGCCGTGTTTGTTTAGGAAAGATTAGCAACGTAAAACCCTTACAACATCCTGAACATGCAGCGAAAGGGAGATGCGATGGAGAGAAATAGAGATTGATGGGTGGAGAGACAGTGGAGGGGACAGTATGTTGTGTTCAACAAGAGGATGGTTTGGGGCAAGAATGAAAAATGGAAAGAGATGTGATTCAAATCAGTTGGAAACTTCTCCTTTGTAGTGGTGTCTGATTGTGTCTCTGGTTGGACACATGCCAGTGGCTGCCTAGTCCATGCGTAGCAGAAAGCTCTTTTTGAATCTGTTCTTAAAGACCAAACGTTGCTGCCACTTTTGTCAGTTATTCTCCATGGTAGATATTCATAGACTCTAAACTGCCTGGTGAATGCACCTGTCTGCTGGAACTGTCCTCTGGGTCGTATAAAACTGTAAAGTGCATTTTTATCTTCTAATCTAGACAGGTCTCTTGGTGCACTGTTGTTATGAATATAAAGCAATTATGTGCATCGAGTACATTTAAAGAACTGTACTTACTGCCTTGTGGGAATAAATCTTCCTTAAGATATTAGTTAGACTCCCACAGGAGCTAGCCTATTTCTTTCAGTTACGTTTTTATACACTGTCTTTCCAAGTAGCCTGGTTTTACGTTATTATTTATTGACTAATCGATACAAAGAATGACTCAACAGAGCCCACAAAGCTGTGGTTCACCAGGTGTGTTGCAGGTGTGTGTGCTTCACTGTGGCAGGAAACAGATGTGCAGTGATATCAACGGCTGCACAGGTCTGGGAGACTATCAGCATAGACCAGCCTGCCGTCTCGCTGCAATGCTCCACTTCCTGTGGGCTTAAATCATGGCAGCACATGATAAGGAGAGCAGAGCGCTGTGAGACCAGCGCTGCTATTGTTGAGAACAGTCCGAGCCTCCCAGATTACGGGCATTAGTGATTAAAAAACGACGGTAAGACAGTGGACAACAGGGAAATTAATTGTTGAGAATTTGATGAATGACACATCGGGAAAACAATAACATTGGCCCATTAAACAGTTTATCAGCTCTGGCAAGCAGTGTGGATGATGCTCATGAAAAGAGAATGTTTAAGGAGTTACTCTAATCTTATTAATATAGTTTTTGTTCTCTTTGCAGCCCCTGCCCAGAGCAAGGAATGGGAGATGAATTTAACCTCATGGATCATTCAGACCTGTATATCTTAGACTTCAGTAAGTAGCCTTGTCATTATCTCTCTTTTTTGATGGTCTAAGAAGACAAAGAAGACTTTTTTTGCAATAAAAGTGCATCAATTGACACTGTTATTGTCATTATCGATTAGCCTACAGAGATTTATAAGTTGAATCTGCAGCTTTGCTCTGCTTTACAGGCATTAAAAATTTTAGTGTTGAGCTGGCTGGTCTTAGTTTTAGTTCAGTATTACTGCTGTCATGGTGTCATTTCTGGATAAATTAGGCAGCAATTTCAGCAAAAAAGCTTTCACCGTCCATTATACACTGCCCACCCAGCACCAAACAGCAGACAGGCACGGTTCGTTTCAAGCTAGCTGGTAAAGATGGTGGAGCATTTAGCAGCTAAAGAAACGGATATGGTGGAGACAAAAAAAAAAAAAAACAGGGCTGAAAGAGAATAAATATTGGAGTTACATTAAGCACACCTCGACATGAAAGTTAATGTTGTTCATTCAGGCTGCAGCTAATAATTGTTTTCATTGTCCGTTAGTTTGCAGACTATTTTCTTGATTAATCAATTAGTTGTCTGGTCTGGCTATAAAATGTCAGAAAATGGTGACCAGTGTTTCCCAAAGCTCATGCTAATATCCTCAAATATTTTGTTTTGTCCACAACCCAAAGACAATCTGTTTACTGTCATAGAGGAGTGAAGAACCCAGAAAATATTCAAATTTAAGAAACTGGAATCAGATGATTTTTTTTCTTTGAAATTACTTAAACAAATTATCAAAACAGTTGGTTATGAATTTATTAAGTTGATTGGTAATTAATTAATTGTTGCAACTCTATTGTTCAGTATCTGCTGGATTTGTATAAAAAACAACAACAAAAACATAAAAACAAATGCTTGCCAATGTTTTAAGTTCACTCCATGAACTTAAATGATTATGAGACATGTAGAAATCACTTCTTGCAGGTTTGAACACACTGTCTGGTCATCTGCGCAATAAATTTTATAGTACTTAAATCTTTCCTACACCTGCTCCATTTCTCACCAGGCCTAGTTTGCACGGCCTTGGCCCTGCTTTGTGTTATCACATGGGGCACTTCCGACTCATAAACTACCAAATATAGCCATATCCTGTCTGCGCTGGGGTAGCCTGCAATGCTGTCAGGTCACAGTTAGGGTTTGTGTAGGTGGGCTTACACAGGGACACAAGGACCGTATGGGACTGGCAGTACCCAGTGGCATCCCCTGTGGCATACGCCTCCTCGTGCCAGTCACGTGTGCCTTCACACTGTTTGTCACTGAACATATGGTGGAACAGCCATGACGACGATAGTAAGTGAGAGGAAGTTTGTGCGTATTATTAGAAAGAAGCCTTGTTAGAAGAAGATTTGTGTGCGAGGGTGATTTAACGCTAGCATCATCATGCTCTGTTTGCCCTCATTTGTGAACACTGTTGTTTGTTGAAGCTGTTTTTCCGGCGTATAGGCAAGCGTATGATGATGATTTTTATACACAGATCAGACATCTAGCCCTTTCATCTACAGATTCTGAGATCTGACCTGCCCACATTTTGAATTCCCACAGCTGAAATGGATATTCTTAGCCTGAGTGTGATTAGTGCCTATGATCACTCTATGACTCACTACACTTTTTTTTTCTTCTTTTCAGGCCCTAATTTGAAGACGTTATGCAAAATAGCTGTTATTCAGTACAGTCTGGAGCAGTCAGGACTCCCACATGATATCAGGTCAGACCTGCATCCTCCTCTCAAACATTAATGCTGTTTTGTCATTAAATTGACATATTGTTGCTTATTCTGTTTGTATTATGCTTGCCACCACTCTGTCTTCCTCAGTAATGAGGATGTAATGAGGCAAATTATGATTCATTATCCTTCATTTAACTAGCTGCAAGTTGTACTCAGGCTTTTGTCTGACTTTACTTTAAGTCCTTACATGTAACATTTGAATGTAATTATATTACCTCTCAACTAATAGCACAAAGGTTTGTGTATAGAAAAATCAGACAATCATGATGAAACATTGGTATAGTCTGTGTGGTGCTTTGAATCTGTTCGTTGTCTGTGTACCCTCGTAAAATTTGCACAAAAGATGCTCCACTGTGACGCAAAGAAGAAAGATCAAAATAGGAAGATGGTTTTCACAGTCTACTTACTTTATGCATGTAAGTATTCTGCAGGAACAAAGACAAAGGCAGTCAAAATGGTGTGAAGCAAGATGATTCCTAGTCAGGCACAGCTTTGACAGAACTACAGTATTGCTTTTAGTGGACTATAAAAACTATAGACTTTACAGCCACAGACACAATTGTGGCATCTTTCAATACATTGTCCTGTATAAGAAAATGTTTCATAAGGTGCCAAAACTTAAGATGTTTAAGTCCAGAAATGTTTGCCTATTCTGTCAAGTAGCAATAATTGAAAGAAGCTCTGACAAAAACATTGCAGTGGTTACAAGATAGCAGCCAAACTGAGATCAATGACCTAGAACTAGATTTAACTCTTGATTATTTAGATCCCTTTTTTGTGTTGACCTCCGCACAATTTCAGATTTAAAAACTTTAGGCTTTCAAATGGAAATATTTTACTCTAAAAAATGAACATTAATCACTAAACAAAACAGCACAAAACAAAGCAATTTGTGTAGTATTTCACATTGAAGCATCCATTATCTATACCTGCTTTATTCTGTGGAGTCCAGTCCACAACAGGGCTAACATAGAGAGAATCAGGCAGGTTTCAATACTAAATCACTTGCTAAATTATTTAAAAATGCCTAAATATTTGTTTCTTAGATCTGCTCCGGTGCCACTTTAGACTGCTGTACAATGTGCTTGCTCATAGGGAATGCTTGGATTAGTTGTGTTTTACATCTATAGTTATGAAGGGTCTAAACTTCTTTTTTAAACTATTCAGATAAATCTCCATAATTAATTGCACTTGGTGATCTTAACCTAACTCTTCGATTTAGTCAGTCCATTTACACAGAAGTGGGTCATAAAGTCAAAATAAACTACAGGTATGCAGCAATTAACAGATTTCTATCACACAGGACTTCCACGTTAGTTTGTCACCTTGTTGGCAGTTATATTACCAGTACCAGCTGTCAGTTGCTTAGTAACCTAATCCTTACATAATCTACTCCAGTCTGCAGATGTCAGTATTAACTACAAACTTGGGGAAAATCTTGTAATTTCACAGCACTGCTCAGGTCAGAAGACACAACAACCCCAAAACAAAAGCTTGTCATCTGGTTTTGCATATTTGCTTCAGCTTTAGCCACTAAATACGCACATTCACATTGAACAGAATACATTATGTATTCAATGTGGCCAAAGTGTTTATTTTTCTCAACTCAAGAACAAAAAATATGTAGGAATATTATTACCTTAAACTTAAACCACATGTATCCCAGGTGGAGTTGATGATTTGGCTACACTTTTGAAGTGCTTTGCTCAATAAAATTGCATTAATGGCCAAGTTTTGAGTTTTTTTCAACTAGTACCGTGAGCATACGTGTACTTTTCTCAGACAATTCTGGCACCTCTCGTTGAAGACACTGCAAAGGAGTTGTCACAAAAGTGGAGCAGTCATATTACCTAAATTACCAAGCACCATGAATTGAATTAATAATACATTATTTTCTCTTCTCACTGACTGGTTTGAAAATTATTTTGACACATAACTTGCAAGAGAGACTTAAAAGTCTGAGAGCATCATTTTGATTTGTTGTGATGTTGTAATCACAGGGTAGGCAAGTTGTGAAAGCTGTGTTAAAGCAAGATTTTTGAGGCATGTTAAGGAAAAATACATGTCTAAAAATTGTGTTTTCAGTAATTACTGTTTTTTTTTTTCTGTGGACTGCAGGTTTAAGTGTTCTTTTCAGACATATCTTTTTATATAGGCAAGTTCACACTCAGTGAAGTCTGTGTAGGGAATAATGCCACACAACTGATTTAATTTCAAGCATATAACCATTTCTCCAAAAACCTAAAGGGAGAGACTTTGTCAATCTGATGGCGCTCATTAGGCAAGTGTGTCTAAAATCGAAGGCTTCCACCTACAGGTTTTCGTGTGTGTGTATGGAACCCATGGAACCTGATACTAATTACTTCTCTTAGCTTCTCATTTCTCTCGCACCGTCACTGCCACCTTGCATGCGCCCCACTTTAGTGTTTGTGGTTGTGTTTCTAACCCTCGGAGGGTTTTCAGTGGGGTCACAAGACCCTGCCTAACTCCCTTTGCCCCTCATTGGCATCCCCAGCTCCAATGCCAATCTCCCCTCCTTAAACACACACGCGCACCACAAAATAACGAACAAAGCAGTTGAGAGGGAGTGAATGTGAAACCAGAGCCAGTGATAACAATCTGGAGCTCAACCTCTGACCTGTCATCAGGTCAGCACTAGACCCTGTTGTCAGCTCCTGCTCCTGATGATCACGTTACAGAGGGGGGGGGCCTTCCCTCAGCCTTGTCCACCACGTAGCCCCTCTACTTGGACAAGTAAGGGGGAGGCAAATGTCACACAGCTGCTCGGTTGTCACCGCAGTAGCATCTTGTAGATTTCAAACTATACGTGTCGGTTGTTGTTTTGATCTTGATGCCCTTATTCCTTTTTTCGAATCAATAAGCTCAATAAAGATGTAAACTTTTCCTGAAATCTTAAAGGCAGCACTACAATTCAAACTAAATCAACATCAGCATGATATCTGATAGCAGTTCAACATTTGTGATGACAATATGAGAACATTTTACTGCTAATAGCTCATTCTCACCATTGTTTGCTCCAGGTGGGAACTGGCAGCCATGACGACCAACAGCAACATCAGCAGGCCCATCTTCTCGTCCCACGGCTGACGCAGCTGAATGTGAAGCAGAACTCTGTTTCAGGACACCGGGCTTTTATCTTTCAAATCAACTGAGCTCCGAGAGACTTTTTTTTTTTTTTTTTTTTTTATAGTCTGGATCTGTGTCCGATTTATTTTCCACATTCTACAAGTGAAAACTCATTACTGACCAAAATATCCTGCATAAGACTTCCTTGGACACCACATGCTTTGCCATGTCTCGGGACATTTTAACCTTTGAGACAACGGTTGTGTGAGGCAGAAATCGCCTGTTCATTTTTTTTTTCTCTCTCTCTTCTTTCTAGCCTCTCTAGAAATCCAATCAGCCTATGATAATCATAGACTTCTAATCTTAAGCACAGGAAGAGGCAAGAACTTCAGCCAAAGGTCTTGAGAGCTAACCTCTTTTGTTGAGGATGTCATCGTGATGTCGCCCTCAACACACCTCCCCTAAAAGACAAATGTGAACCTTCTGTTGCAGATATGAAGAGACTGAGATGGTCATGAGTGAATTTCTTGCTGCTCAAACTTAGTCATAAAACCATGTAAAGCTACCATGTCCATGAGCAGACAGCTTATTATGTTGCTTTTAGATGCAAGGAGACAGAATATTCAGTACTCACATTATTGGAGTGTGATGCTTTAAAAGATCTGTTGGACTGATTTTAAATGCTTAGCGATTTCCCTGCTTCATTCTAACTTGGATGGCACCCCACTGCTCGCAAGTGTCTCTAAGGTAATTTGCAAGGCGACTGAAGAAAGCCTTGTAAAATAATCAAGCCCATCTACCTCCCTCAATAGCATGTAACATTGAGTGTTTCAGAGTTCCCATGCATTAGGCTCCTACTTTTCCCCCAGAAAAAAAAACAGCCTTTTCGCAGGGAAGATGGTATTTGTGGTTTGTCTGTTCTATTCTTCCAAGAAATGCTGCAGTGTCAGTGGAAGAGTGCGACTCACCTGCCACCTCCCTCTACCCCTTGAGCTTGTTTTTCAGTGCCAAACGTAGAAGGGAATCATGATGCAAATATATACTGTGTATGTGTGTGAGCACGTGGTCCTGTCTGCACACAGTCCACCTGCCTCGGTTTACCTGTTGTTGTAGGAGGAGGCCATTGCTAATATGCATAATGTAATTCCTTTTTATAGACAATCCTATGGCGTTCAGAGACGCTTCTCGTGACCGGTTTATTCACAGTATCGTGGAAAAACAAGGAAAGCGTGCACGTGTGTTTGTGCGCATTGACAAGCAAAGTTAAACCTGAGCAGCGTATGTTATAAACATGCATAAGGGCTGTTATTAGATTACACACTCACACCACATGGCTTGGAATCGCTCAAATATTATTCATGCTAACTACAAATTTTAGAACAAAACGTCTGGTGGTTGTTTTTATTCTTATCTCCGTTCCTATTAGTTAAAGGACGATTCTATATTTTTGCTATCGTCAACAGATCCCATAAGCAGGCCAAAACAAACAGTGTACTAGGTTGTCTCTCAACACTTTCCTATGCTGTCAGTGGCTGCCAGCCCAAAGCCAGTCTGTTCCAACTAACAACCAGCCCAACACTGCGGCTTTTAACAGTTCTTACTCAAACAGCACTGACAATAAAATTTGTTGGGGATGATTTTTAATCGTGGCTTTGGAGCACATGTGTGAATTTGCGGCAGCAGGACACTGTATTTTGGATTATTTATGTGTTTATGATAGTTTTGGGATAATTACGGGCTTTGAAAACAGACAATCCGTCATACTTAAATTATTGTTTTGGTCTTTATTGACAAAAAAAAAGCAAAAAAGCTGAATAACATCCAAGCTATCCTCTGAATCTTAGAATTTAAATTAACACAACATTACATTAATGAATAGCCAGGCAGAAGAGCTGTTACTAATGCTTATCTTAACATTTTCACTAAGGATTTTAGCTGTGTCTGGTCCTGTAAAAGGTCCCACACTTACTACTACGAATCTAAGATGGGATGAGAAAACTGTTACCACACATTCATGAGCTGCATCCAAGATTTCAATCCTGATCTTTGGGACCGAGAGTTCTGCTGCTTTCTGTCCTGCCAGATAGTTAAACATCCTCTGTTCAGTGAGTCCCTAATTAACTAGTTAGAATGAAAAGCAGCAGGGCTCTGGGTCCCAGGCGTCAGGCTTTAGCAACACTGACCTACAACATAAATGTTTACAAATCTGTGTATGTCTCGTAAAGCAGTGTAAAACAATCTTAAATGCAGGTTGCAGTCACCAGATAACTGCACTATAGCCAATCTTGGCACGTCTGGCCATACAGAGAGGACACATGTTGATGCTGCTTTTTGCCTAACTAGACTCCAGAGTTTGAGACGTTTGCCTACCCAAACCAAGTCTGAATTTTATTATTTACAGACCAGCGGTGCCAATGTGACTCAGCGAGTCTTATACCCTCTGCACTCCACACGCACACGGACATATTGTACACTTGATTTTCCCAGTTACCTGGATGATACAACAGCTAATGCAGTGAAACCACAGGGAAGCTTATCAACAATATTCTGGTGAACAAATCAAACTGTTTATGTAACACCAAATGGTCACTGGCAAAACTGATATTTGTTTATTTCTTTTTCCAGTGTGTAGTGTGGAAGTCATCTTTATTTCAGGATTTTGGTCCCTTTGTTGTTGCGTGTGAAGATTATGGGTGATGATATTTTAAAGTGAAGACCTCTTCAGGAATATGGCATGAAGAAAATAATAAAGGACAATGTAGACACTGGTTAGAAATGAAATACCTGTACAACAAGTTTCCTCAGTGATGGTCACTCACTTGCCTATGGTACAACAATGCTAAAGTGCTAGCGGTTTTTCCTAAATGTAGTGGCATGACATTTTTAATTGAAGTGGTGTAAAACCTCCTGAAGCTCCTCTTGTACTTCATATTTAGGCTTTCACAGGGTTACCACTGTTTCAACAAAACAAAACCTGCTTCATGCCAAGAAAATGCATCATTAGATTATAGAGCATACTCATGATAACTCATTGATGATTCATTGTGAGGAGACTGGCCTAATTTCATGCCAATACGTGTGCTCTATCTTTAGGGTTTAAAGTATTTGAGGATAAATTCGTACAGAGTAACAACTAAGTTTGGACTGTATCAGGATTCATTTTACGACTCTGGAGGGTACCAATGCTTATTGTTTGTAGCTGACATATTTTTGAAGGGGACTCTGTATCTGGCAATGTTGGTGAGGACTTCCTGTGCAATATGCTTTATAACTGTATCAACAATAAATCTGAGACACTTTGAGTTGTTAACACTTGTATGCACTGATGATTTCTAAAGCTGTACAGATCTGGTAAAGACTGAACCAGCCAATGTGGAAAAGCCAACAGAAACATATTGTGCCATTATGAACAGACAATCTGCAGCATGAGGTGTCAAACTACCTGCGTGGGCGGCCCAGTTAGGCTCAGCAAACAATTAAATAAGGTAGACATGAAGTTAGCACTTTCTTATTGCGTTTTTAAGTCAGTTTTGAATTTTGCCTGATCTTATTTTCTTTTTTTTATTTCAAACATAACAGTTACCAAACACCTGTACATAAACATGGACTCACGTCACACAGAGGTTTCCTGCTGCAGGTTTAAAGCTCAGTGTCGTGGCAAAAGCCATCACCATGTTGGTTGTATCTCACAAAACTGAGCAAAGCGGGAAAACCTAAGTGAAGCTGAATTGGTCCATGAAAATCTGTGGCAGCACCAGTCTCTGACAGGGAAACTAGTTATGAAGCCCAAAAACATTTGCTGTAACAGGCTGTAAACATGTTTATGTCTGCTGTAAAGTTGGATATTTTAACATGGGGGTCAGTAGGGATTGAAATGCTTTTGGAGTCAACCTCAAGTGTTCATTTGAGGAACTGCAGTTTATGGTGCCTTTGTTTTTTAGCCCCAGAGATTGCTGCTTTTGCAGAAGAACACCTGAGCTTGAACCATCAGCACACCTGGTGCCTTTGTAAACCTAAAAGAATGAGTGATTTGGAGGGCTTTTTCTAAACGTAAAAAAAAAAAAAAAGAAAGATAAAAAGAAAAGGGGCTGAAAGAATTCACAACTCCAATATTATGTGGCGATATCTTGGGATTAAAAAAAAAAAACAGATAGATAGATATGTCAATGCTATCAGTCAAACTCATTTCTAACTTTGCTTTTTGTGTATTTTGCCTCTTCTTTTTTAACAAATTACTTACAATACTAGTCTAGTGAGGTGAAAAGTATGTATATTGTACATTGGGATATCAACCAAATACGCATTGGTTATTTGCTATATCATTCTATGTGTATTATTAGCATGATATCAGCATTCCATTTTTAAAATTGTCAACATCAGTATATTGCGAGACTCCCTTAGTTTAATGGGACTTTTTCCCATCTTATCTACAAAGACTTGGACCATGTTCTCCCAGAATAAAATGAAAACTAACATGCAAGCAGTGTGAAAGACATGAAGGAACAGGGATCAAAAGACAGTTTACTCAAGGTATGAGTGAATTAAGTTGAAATATTTTGAAATCTATGTTCCACACCACTCAAATGAGGTCCACTGTAACATTTTGTCATTGGAAAATACTTCTAAATAGTAAATCGAATTGATCAAATGGCGTCCTGATCATGACTGATAATTATGATATAACTTGCAATCATTCTTTTGTGAATTTGTAAAAGCTGCAGCTGTTTCTGCCCACTGGAAGCCAGATGTGTCCACTTCCCACCCTTAATTCTACGGTCAGAAGTTTCCTCTTGGATCTATAGTATTCAACAGTTCACAGCTACCAGGTCTTTGAACCCTGTGCTTCTGCATTTTCTGCTCCCTGCTGAGATCAGCCACATCTGCCCCAGCCGTCCTGTCTGATAGCCCTCACTGTCTACTCTACTGCGTACTTGGGGTAGTCATGGTGCCACCCAACACCCCCCCACCATCCCTCAGACTACCTAATGCATTGCGTGTGGCTGCTTTGGGGGGGTCCCCATCATTACAAAGTGTTTCACCCTGAACCCCAGCTCAATCTTTGCCCCTGCTACCAGCAGAGGCCTGGCAGTTTGATCCTGTCTGTCACCAGCCCCGTGCTATAAAGCCAGTGTTATCTGCAGTGTTAAGTGCAGGCCACAGACGTAGGGTCAGCTTAAAGTGAGGCAGCAGAGACACCCTGTCCCGCCTGGTCTCGCCGCACACAGGAAGCACGGCCGCGCTGGGTCCCTCTTGTCTGGCCCCGGGGCCCGCTGCCGCCGGCAAACGGAGGCGCTAATGCAGGGAGACACTCAGCCAAATTACTGCTGTAATTTCCCTTCAGGACTCAGACGATCCCTCTGGCCCTTGAGAATCAGACTGAGGATTTGTTCAGAGTGATTTGTTTTGTCTTGTCCACCCATATCACTATCCAGTTCCTTTGCTCAAGTTCGAGTTCTCCACTCCTGGCATTGTTGAGGCTGCTAAACTGGGGATTTACGAAAAGAGGCACTGAAGGAGCATGAGCCCTTGGAGAATAGACGCTGTAGCTTATTTCATTTTAACATATGCAAAAAAAAAAGAAAGCAACAAGTTGTCATTTTCTAACACTGCCAAACTTTAAATCTGTTGTTTTCCATGCAGACATCATGCTCATGAATGTACCTCCTTTAAGATGAGCATCGGCCTTTAGTAAAGTGCTAAGTTTCTATTGCGCTTTAGTCATGTTTTGTGATGCCCATAATCTATTCATCTGCTGAGGGAACTAATTTTGTGCGAGTGACCGAGCCGCTCAGCCTCAGTGCGTCATGTTTGCAGACCTGTAGCTTAATTCCCTTCCAGCAGGGGTTTAATTGAGTGACTAATATGCACGCAGTTAAAACCCTTTGAAGACAAACTGCCATAGCTCACTGCCTCAGAAGTCTGTTCAGAAATTAAACAATGATGCACCAAGCTGGTTTTCTGCTTGAGATATGAATGATAATGACACAGCAGTGTAAACTCTGAAGCTGGGCTCAGGCTGTTCTCTTTCAGAGTGCATCGTAATAAAACTAATTCTAGCATAACATTCCTTTACTCTTACTATATTTTACCGTCTTTACTGATGGATCTGTACCGGAGGCTTGGACCGGTTGTCTCGGTGCCACCCAAGTAGATACGATGTGTGAAATCTTGTGAGAGAAAAAACTTGTCGCTGTTCATGTGGGTTTAGTTTAATTTTAGAGAGCTAGCTCAAATACTGTGTCAGACTCGTTAAAGAATAACTAATCATGTGTTTAAAAAAAGTTATTATTTTAAATATGTTGATCCTTTTATTGCATATTTAACAGTTATTTTGTGACTGTATATATTAAGTCTCTTGGAATAAGCTGTTATATAACAAGGGAACAGTAGAAGTAAATATTGAAGTGATGCTGAGCTGTAGGTTCATACAGATGCCTTGCTCTGATATTTTAAACTAAGTTTTCATTTTGGGGTTTTGTAGACTCCTGACCGTGTCCAGCAATTCAAATTAACACCATTTTATCACCTTAATATTTGATTATTCACCCTAATTTTAGCTTATACACACAATTTTTTTTAATGCATGTGCCTTAGAAATCAACTGCACTTCAGAAACCCAAACAAGTCTGTCTGTATGTTTGACATTGCAGTTTCATAACAGATTCTTTATAAGCAGTTAAACAATAGTAAATTGCTACTCCTACTACCACTACTACTACTACTATTCCTACGAAAATGCCACCATGTAAGATAACATGCGGTACTCTGTAAGTAGCTCTTTGGCGAACAAAACTAATCGACTTTTCTTTGCTTAGCTTACATACAGTGAGGTCCATATGTTTTTGGACAGTGTCACAATTTTCATGATTTTGCCCCTACACCAATACAATATGTTTGAAATAAAGCAATCAGGATGTGAGTTTAGCAGTTATTTTGAACAGTCCCTCCATTTTTACAAGCTAAACCTTCGTCAAAACTGAGGCTCTTCTGTTTCTACACCTCTACATGTCAGAACAAATGCTTTAATTTTTTCTCCACTATCCTAACTGGACCCTAACCCTGACCTTTTGATTAACACTGTATATGGGGATTTTTAAAACAATTTTTGAACATAGGATGAGCTTGTAAAATACAACATATTGTTAAAGAACTATGGTTTCTAACCTTCTTGACTTGTGAGCTCAGTCTAGTTCCTGGACACATATTGTATTTGTTGCTGTAACACCATAAGACAAGTTCCCATCTAAACTTCTCAGATGGTTTTGTTTTTTACCAGTGCAACTCTAATATTCTACAAAAAATCACAAAAAGATTAAAGAAAAGTCTAAAGGATGAAAACAGATTTGCATATCAGAACTTTGCTGCCCATCGATTTATCTCGTGACCCCTCAGAGGGCCACGAGCCCTTGTTTGTGAACCAGATAAGTAAACTGTTCTGTATATAAAGTGGAGCAGCTGCAAAATGCTGTTCACAAACCGATGCATCATTATTACAATTTGCAGTTTATTACAACAGATTAGGGATTTTTTCCCCCTTTCTTTTAGCTAATTATAGTTGATAATATTTTCCTTTTACTTAATTTTTACTTGTGTTTTACAATGTAGTATCGGCTCCTGTTTTTTTATTGAAGTAACTGATCTGAATCCAAACCTAATATCAACAAAACAAACTGAGCGTCTCTCCCGTTTAAGAAAAGTGTGTCAGAATGTTCATATGAATTATGCAAATGTGGCAGCTGAGTGAAAATTTCATGTAATCAAGCCCTCAGTCTGGGAATCACATTGTGCTGCTGCCAGTAACTCTTCAATTAAAGCTGTTCCAGGGAGGAGGAACAATAGTCCCAATGTGGATCTGAGGAGCTTCACATGATGCTTTCATATTTTTCTGAGTATGTGATGTTGTGATTGGCCACAAAAAGCTTTAACGAACACAATGTTTAGTCACATTATAAACACACACGTTTCTTCTATTTTAATGACATCTCTCATCACTGCCGCCATCCTGCGTCCAATCTGGTTATTTATAGGAGTCCATTCACTAAATATAAACCCGCCTCGATCATTTGTCGTCACAACAAGCAACATTATTCCATTTAAAGTTTTTTTTCTCTTCTCTTCTTCACTGGCTGATGTGGATGAGAGGTGTCAGGTTTAAAAGGAGGGAAGCGCACAAGTGTGTGGCACTCATCATCTGCACTGCAGAGGTAAGAGATGGAGAACTAGTTAGGATTCATTTTAATTTACAGAAATGTTTTTGTTTTTTTAAAATCAGCTTTTACTCAAAGGTTCATTTTTACAGTCAAAAAGAAAACAGACTGGATTTTCTTTTTGACTTTTCCCCCCTCTCCATCCTGAGCCATGTGTAACTAAGCATTAAAAATGTGTTTTAGGTGGCCGCATCAGAGTCAAAAATGACCATTTGGTGCAAATCCTGCAAATGTCATGTCAGCTCTCCGTGCACCTCTCACCATCTGCCCGAGGATCACCACCGCTCGGTCTGCAGGAGGTTCAGGTCAGTGCCTCTTCCTTGTCCTCCTCCTCCTCCTCCTCTCTGCTCCACGTCCTCTAGTGGCTGAATCAACACATGGCGGCTGAGCAGATGAAGACCTGACTGCACTGCATGCACAACAGGGAGCTCTTAATCCAGTTTTCTCCAATCTGCAGCCAAGTAGCCTCCTGTATTTGATACATACTAATCCAGCCAAAGATGCTGTCACCCTTTTTTAAAAACAAAAAAAACAAAAAACAAAACAGGCTGAGATAAGCTCCTATAAAGGTGATTTAATCAGTCTTGAAGAAAGAAATGATAATAAATAAAAACTCTTTCATGAATACAGAATTATAACATTCAGAATTTAAAGTGTGTATGTGAATATAAAGTGTCACTTAATATCCATATTTCTTGGTTTTATAGACCTAAAGCATCCTAAAAAAAAAAACGACAAACTTATCATATCTTATTATCTTTCAGTCTTTTTTTTTTTTTTTTTTTTTAACATACAGGCTACAAAATAATTCTCCTTTTGCGGCACCTTGTGTGTCCTCATGACGTGGGGCGCCCCACTCCGAGGACACCCACTTTATAAGGCAATGAAGGGAGCATGAGAAGCCCAGCCTCCCCTTTGTGTGTGACGCCCACGCTGAAGCCCTGGCAGCTATAAAAACCCTGAGCTCTCTGTGGATGGGCCCAGACAGATACTGATCACACAGACAAAGTCTATTGAGAGCCCTCATTTCTGCTCCAGACACGACAGCCTCTCTGCAGTTTCCATAGGAACCCTTGATATTCAAAGTCCGCTTGAGCTCGCAGGGGAAGAGACACTAGGCTGAATTGTGGAAAAGAGGCTGGATTAGTTCAGGCCAATTACCTTTTTTTCTTTTTTTTTTGTCTTTATTTGATTTTTCTTCTTAACCACTTGCCACGTGGAAGAGAATGACCTCAGATCGATTTTTTGAAATGCGGCAGTAGAGAAAAGTTTGGCTGCCTCAGTTTCACTTTTCGATCCCACCTCTGACCTCAGCGAACATGGTGTCCAACAGATCCACCAAAGGAGCATCCAAAGCTCGGCGAGACCACATCAATCATGAGATCAGGAATATGCGAGCTCTGCTGCCCATCACCCAGGAGGACCAGGAGCGCCTGTCCTACCTCCACTCCATGGCAGCCATCTGCACCTACATCAGGAAGTCTGTTCTCTTCCAGGGTGAGCTTTTGTACTTAATTCACAGTTTAATTTCTTTGAACTTCTAATCTAGACTCAGCCACTGTTAAAAAAAAAAAAAAAAAAAGGGACAACGTTTTGCAGTACCTTAGGGAGCATATCAAAGATAACCTGCTCTCAGTGTAACCAAAGCTGGACTCACTCTTTCTGCTCTCAGGGCTCTCGGCTGGGGAGAGATCACACTGCTCTCTGCCGTATGAGGCCTTTCTTCAAGCCCTGCACGGCTTCATCCTGGTCACCACTGCACAGGGCAGGCTGGTTTATGTGTCGGAAAATGTCGACGAGTACCTCGGTCTTTCCATGGTGAGTCCTCTGGGTAAACACAGTGTTGTATTCAATTGCAGGGCTCTTGATTTCAGCATGTTTTGGTTCCACGGGGCGCTTTAGATTTCTTGATCTAATGGGAAATCTTGTTACTTTTCCAGGTAGACGTGCTGCAAGGAGACACGCTGTATGACATGGTGGAACGCTCGGATGTTGATGTTGTTAAATTGAACCTGGACATCGAAAGCACCTCATCATCAGGTAAGAATTGGATGCAAAATTGTTATATAATTGTTGTATTTTAAACCGAGCATAATGATGCTGCTTGTTGCTTAGTGCTCCCCAAACACTCCTCTTTTGCCCTCTTTCTATTCACACAAGGTAAATTTATTGAAGAAGTTGGAAAAGGTTGCAAATGGTAAATTTGTAAAGTGGCTCTAAGTCATCTAAATAAAAAAAAGGCCACACAAAGCATTTCTGTTGAATCATTTATTTCAGATTTCTAAAGCCTGCTGCCGAAAGACTAACCTGCCGTCTGTCTTTCTTTTCTTCAGAGAGGAGCTTTATATGTTGTATGCAAACCTCCAAGGCTTTTAAGTTGCAACATGGCAGCTGCTGCTCCATGCACATCAGAGGGAGCTTCCAGTTCTTCTGTCAGCCTCACCTGTCCTCCCCTGCGGCCTCTCCCACCGGCGAGCCTCTGTTCGTGGCCCTCTGCACCCCGACAGCGAACCGCCTGAGGAGCAGCGACTCTCACTTCTGTCACAGCTTCAGCAGCACCCACAGACTGGATATGAGCTTTACTCAGCTGTCAGACAGGTAAGTTCACACATCCCCTCTTTAAGCAGATATAATCACAATGTTTTTATGCTTTTTTTCCTGACAGTGTCGTGTTTTTCTTCTCCAGTGTTGTATATTTTTTGGGGTATTCGGCGGATGAACTGACTGGCCGATCCTGGTACAGTCTGGTCCATCCTGAAGATCTGTTACAGACTGCAGATTCTCATAGAAGTTTAAGTAAGTGTTAGATCCACTGCAGGAAAAACAACAACATTTTTTGACATTTCCATATTTATTGGCACCTATCATCATCACCATTTATCCACATCTAGGATTTGAACTTTCAGTTATTGAGTTGCTGATGCCTGCGGAAATTACATTTAATCATAGATATTAGAGCTTCTATTTTGGTACAGCAACCTTTCTCGAAAGACACAAGCAAGTCTAGAGAACATGACAATGATTTTTACTTCGGTTTATTCAATTTGTTCATTTCCAGCCTTACGCAGGACTTTTAGGAATGTTGTGCTGGTTTTGTTGTGTACAAAGCATTAAGCTTGTGTGTCTGTGTGTGTGTGTGTGCACTATTATAACCATGAATGTCTCTCAGTGCAGGCAGATGAAGGCTTCCAGGTGGAGATGGTACTGAGACTCCAGCGATCAGATTTGTCATGGACCTGGATCTACATTCAAGCTAACAAGGACTCAGAGTGTCAGTGCATCAGCTGCACCAACTTCTTCATCAGGTATGAGTTGACAGTGCGAGACAAGTTTTCTTGCTTTTCAACCTAAATATGCCGACTCATAACACATTTCTTTTGATCTTCCAGTGAAACAGAGGCCAGATTTCTTCAAAAAAAAATCAGCAGCGAGGCCTTCAGGCCATCGTCTCTGCAACATTCCTGCCATTTAGTTCAGCAGGCGGCCCACACTCAGAACAAAAACATGAAATGCTTAAAAAGGCAGAGGACATCTAACAGCCAGAGTGAGGAGCCTTGTGCCAGAGTGAGGAGGGAGTCTGAGCGAGACGTATACTACGTGGTGTGCGGCTCCTCCCAAGGCAGTAGCTCACCTGTTCCCCTGGGTGACAGCCCTGCTTTCTACACGCCTCCCTACAGCCCGGCCTCCTCAAGCTCCTCGCTGCCGCAGGAGGAGCTCAGCCATGACCTCCTGATGGATGTGCATGAATGCACAGATCAGCTGCTGTCCTCCCCTGAGAGCTCTCCCTCCTATTACTCCTACCCAGAGGCAGGGCTCACCTGTCACCAATCACCCTCCGACTCCCTCCCTGCAGTCGCTGAACAAACCTTTGACCAGGGGGCCTTCGGCGTGCTCAGTGCCCACTCTCCGCTTACTTCCTCATCTCCGACCCATGATTTCCAAGCTTGTACGTCCGATGCTCGATTAGTTCCAGACTGCCTGTCTGTGTCCGACATGTGTGAGAGCCCGGTGGACTGTGCTCTGCATCCAGACGATTTCGGCCTCCTTGAGCAGCCACAAGGGGGCAGCCTCGTCCAGCTGCATCATGTTCCTCACCCTGAGTTGCCCATGCATTCCAGTCTTGGTGCTCCCAACCAATCTGCCATATCCACAGAGTCTAACCAGTACAACGAGAGGGAACAGGCAGAGATCAGTATTCTGGCTCAGCAGATCTCCTCCCTGGCCAGCAGCTTTGACATGCACCACACCTTGAATCCCCTTACAAATGTGGTCCAGCCTGCAGCCACCAGCACCCTGCCCTCAGCCTGTGACTGGTCCCATAACCCTTGTCTTCCCTCAGTCCCGCTTTCTAAGTTGGTGCTCGATGACGGTGTGTTCGACAGCATCCTAAAAGACCTGGACATGGTCACGAGGAAAAGCAGCACATCCAGCCCGGGCGTCATTTGCTACAGCTACCAGCAGGGCTTTATGTGTGGCAGGAGTGGGTCGGAGCAACAGCCTCTTGGCCTCACTGCTGAGAATCCGCTGCCTACAGAGCAGTTCCCTGCAGGCAGCATCGCCTTGGATCCCTTCAGTTTGCAGATGGGACACCACGGCCAGAACACTGGGTTGCATCAACTCAACCACTACATGCAGAGGAGCCTTCGGCAAGGTAATTTTCTACCACTGCTGAACTTATAATTCCCTAATCTGATACAGAAAGTTTACAGATATGACACCTACATTTCACTAATATTGTTTTCTGTCTCCTTCCAGATGGACTCGCTGAAGAAAACCTGTACTGAAATAAGTCTGTGACTTACCGTACTACCACTTGTATGACATATTGTCAGGGCGATCAATCTTCCTTCGCTGGATTCAAAGAAGAATGCGAACAGAGCCATCCTGCTCAGACATGGTTTCCCCAAATGACTTAATTGTGAATGTAGAAAAACAAACTGAAGTCGATTCTGTCGCGTCGCAGCACCACAGAACTGTCTCAACACTGCTGTCAGCTAAGATTTATGTTTCGCTGATGTCTTATATTTTATGAAAAAGGTACTTTTAAAAAAGTCACAACACTTAGACTCTGAAATGAAAGTATATTTTTCTTCTAATGTTGAGTGACCACAGTTTACTATTGAGCACTTTATCAATGTCATCACCACAAGAAGTTCATGAATGAGAAGATGTGCTGATTTAAATGAAAATGAACTACATTTCTAAGCTGCCTGGATGAGCTTTATCACATTAATCATTCCTAATAAAACCATTTGTAAATACTTGGTTTTAAGGTGCCTTAAAATGTGTGGGGAAGACACTGTAATAATAATATTTACATTCCTGATTTATACTATTGTCCTGTTTTCCTCAGTGTGCCATCAAAGCTTTTACTTTGAAATGAATGAAACCTCAGTCAGCAAGCAGAAAGATACGATAATGATGATTGTAAATTCAACACCTACCTCAATGGTACAACTAAAAACATTCCAAGTCTGATCCATCGATTGTATTTATTTGGTTTGGAGCACACTGACTTAACTTTACTCTCACTTAATTGTATTGAAATGTTTTATTTAACAGCAATTTGAGTCTTAAAGCTCTGTCTATTCATTCCACATGTGTTTTGTTTTTTCATGGTATTGGAATTCTGTATTTTTGAATGTTACGTGTTTTTGTGTCATTACTGCAATTTGCTTCAGTTGTTTGAAATGTAAATAAACCTAATGAAAAACACACAAAGCCTCCTGATTTATCAGTATATGTATAATAGTTCTGAATTTTATTTACGTCAAACTCCATCTAACTTGTATAACATCTGCCTGAATGTTAATTTGAAATCTCACTTTTTTTTTTTTTTTTTTACACAACACAACACTTAAATCTTTATTAGTGCAACAAGTTAAAGCAACACTGACCTACTGTCACCTTATGAAACTGTTAAAGCTAAAACATTAGCAAACAGATGCTTACTTACACACCCAACCAACACAGAACGACATTAACGTTCATGTGGAAGTGTGTCAAAGAGTCATGCTCCTTTAATGTCTGCTTTATTGTGTGGCTGGAAACTGATGTGAGCGACAAGACTGAACCAAAACAATGATGTTGTGGGTCGAAAACCAAAACAATGACCTGAATGATGCTGAAACTCTGTAGAGCTGGTGGAACCTGCACTTCTCTGTTGGTTCATCTCTAGGAATGACATCTTTCGCATGGAATCTAAGAACTTAAGCCATCATTAATATGGAATATTTACTGGTGCAGCTTTAAAATGCACCTTTGTGTAGCAACAGCTGTCACAAACGGGTCTACTTTGTATTGTTTATGTGTACTTGTTGTCTGTAGCTGCTCAGACTGCGACAGCATCTACTTTAATGCTCCATTGATTTTTACATATTGTGGCCAACGAGAGCATATAAAGTGTACGCTGAGGAATCAATCTGGTATTAGGACATACATGCAGAGTCAATGCTCAAATATTTATTTAGATAAGTGAAGTGAGTGAACCCTGCTGCTATAATGTAGCTCCACGGAACACTTAGTGTGGATGTACATATGTGGAACAGAAAGCTTGCACTACAGCCATGCTACTGGTGCAGTGTGTGCAATGCAGAGCCCCCATGCTTTTTTCATGCAAGTTAAAACAACCACTAGATGGAGTGATAGCTCCAACAGCATCCCAGTAACACAGACACACTACATGCCATTAGTGTAATACCAGTTAAACAAGCTTGAAATAAACCGGAGTGTGTATGTGCGGATGCCAGCGAGAGCACGAAAGGACATCATTCGGTCCGTTCATGAGCAAAGAGTCCAGATGCCTGGTGTTATCCATGGAGACCTAATTAAGAGTGATGTCTGTTGAAGGGTACAATGGCAAATAAAGTTCCTAACAAGTCCCCACATCTGCTGTGCTCCAATCTTCCTGCATCACTCAGCGTTACCTGGAACAATAATGATTTCCCGGAGGCACGGTGACACAGAGTCCGTGGCATCGATGCATTTGTCCACACCGAGGAGGCAGGAAAAAAAAGGGAAAAAAGAAGAAAAAAAAAAACACCTTTTTATTTCACCGACACACACAGCAAACACTCCCAGCACTCCTGTGTCTCTGCAGATTACACAGCACAACAGCAAAGAGAGTTTGGCACTTTTCTGTAGCTGTGGTTACATGATTTTAATTAGATCAGGCATGGCTGTGTGGTAAAATGTTGGTGTTTCAGGGATTTTGTTTTTGGAAGGAAATCAATACAAATGTTACAACCTTATTATTAATAGAGACAGTGGAAGATTTGTGGTCGTTTGTGGGTTAAAATAATCATTAATGATTATAAACGCAAAGGATTTAAATGTAAAAGTGAGACAGACATACAGATAAAATAAATATGAACATAGTATAGATATTTATAGCCCATGAACAGGAATACACCTACAAACACACTCACTTCATCTCTATAACTATGTCTAATGTATCACTTAATTACACATGCGGCTTTCCCAGCTCTCTAACATTAAATTAAGGTGATGTGAGATCAAATTAACAAAATCTCTGTCTCACAGGAGAAGGTGAAGTACTGTAGGAGTCTGGCAGCGGAAGCGAAAGATGAAATGTATTCAGATGATGCTATGATTCACATCTAGGTTCTGTGAGTGGTATTAGGGCTGAAGGCACAGCAAAATAGAACTGACAAAAGAGAAACACAGGCAAAACTGTCATCTGCCCTACTTCAGTAGCTCCTAAAGTGCTTTCTCAGGTGGATGGCTGGAGGGCGGATGCTGAGGGAAAAGCGCATCAGTGCAGTTAAACAGAGCAGCTCATGGATAGGATTCTTTTCAAAGCCGTGCCTCCCACAAGCAGCCAGTTTTTCATATCCTGCCTCACCGGTGGCTTCTCACAAATGATTACCTAATTTGCTTGCAAAGAAAAACTCTCCAAATTGAAACTCTCACTGATTTCAGACAACAGGGCCTCAGGTGGCGCAGCCGTGTCTTCGTTTATTTACTGGCTTTATGCTTTTATTGTTGCTGCAACTGGGCTTGAGGGGCTCTATTGAAAGCTTATCTTTGGGGTATACATTTATTTTTGAAATAGATGAAGATGTGGAAAGCCATCCAACTAGGAATGTGATTTGTCTGTTTTGCTCAGTGATTGTTTGGCAGATGGAAGTGGTGACACAAACGATAGCTGCCAAGGTCACGGAGAGGTGTCGCATGCTGTCATGAGGGAGACCTGAGCTGTTATTGCACGTTAACCCGAGCCTGCCTTTTCATTCTCCACACTCCGTGAGGTAATCCTGCGTGCTGGGTAATTTATTTTCTCCTTGTCTCAACATATAAAGCAGCCTGCCATTGTTTTGGCTGTATCACATTTCCATGTCTATAACAATGTTGCCCCACTTTTCAAAGGAGGCTCATCACCTGACTGGTGCCGGTTCAGTCGGCTCACACTGACACTGTAATTGGGTTAAACAAAAAGACCCAAAATAGACTGCAGCCTGTTCCTTCAGGACCCATCCTGTTCCTCCTGTTGCTGTGCCTGAAACCACAGCTCTGATTCAACACTGTACCCCAGTCATGAAGAGTCAACATTTTGTGCTGCTATTCACAGGAGAAAGGCCAACCAACCGGGGAGAAGAATACAAACGTCAGCCAAACAGCGGAGCCTACTTGCATATGAATGTTTGATTTATTTTTCTACTGTTTTCTCGCAGGGAAGAGTTTGCTGCTTAAGGCAAAGCACCTGTCCTCAGAGGAGACATAAGCATCCCACTGTGGCAAGATTTGATAAACATGTTATCCTTTGTTGATGGAAAATTCTTGTGCATTGACAAAACACATTTTTCACCCTATAAAATTTACATCAGGGACTTCAGAATACGTGCCTGGATGTTGTATTTTGCTTTACAGCAATCCCAAACAGATTTTCATGGGTTTACATTTGCCTTCTCTTTTGTGCAGAAGCAGTGCTGTTGGTTTTAGGGAGGGAAAGTCTTTCAGTATGCGTATTTACTTCCATAAGCTCAACCTCCAGCATTCAGAAAAATCAATGCTCTGTGCTGGAATTCCAATACACAGTGGCCCATAGGTGGATCTCTGTAAGATACAGTTTGATTTTTGAAGCCCTGATGTTGTTCTCACAGTCGTCTGGGTATTCAAAGTAAGTGAAGACTGATTGCTGGCGATCATCTGCATATGCACCACGTATGCTGTACATGCATACGGGGCGCGCATCATAAACATGTTTATCTCTCCACTTCTGCACAACCCCAGGGGTCAACACAAGCAAACACTGAAGAGTGTATGTTATGGAGGGCTCAGAGAGGCTTGGAAATGATCAGAAAAGCAATTATTAAAGTGAGACGCAATTAGGGCTTTAAAATCACGAAATTAATTCATCAATAATTAGAACTGAATTGAAATGGATAAGTAAATGACGAAATAATTGATGCATAGCTAAATCTGAAATTAGCGTCATTACCTTTTTTAAATGGTTCAAATCCATTCGATGACCCAGTTTTAACGTGGAAACAAACAGACAGATGTACATTACATAGAAAATTTACCAGTTAGAGAAATTTAAAAAATGGAAAGCTGTGATAATAGAAGAAGAAAAAAAAAAAGTCAGTATACCATTTAGGGGAGCCATTTTCAGGCACCTGGTAGCGTACATCCCAGCTGACTACGTAGGTTGATCAGACACTTAATGGAACTCAGCGTTTGTTGTTAAGCTTTTTAATTGCACTTGTGCTTTTGCTGTAATGAAGTCAAAACCTCTGCGGTGAAAAGAGGCCTATTGTCGATC